GAAATTCCCCCATGTCTATAAGCAGAAAATGATAGTTGCATATTCAAAAAATAAGAACTTAAATGATAATATTGTTCATAGTAAACTAAAAACAATCAGCACATAACAGATACTATACGAGTTATTTTTTCTAATTTCAGATCAGAATAAGAACAGAAGAAAACCCAATATCAAGACCCTTAATCCTAATTTCTAAATAAAGTGTCTGCTCCACCCTAGGTCTGTACATTTGGGAGAATCAAACCCTCCCTTCCCCGAAAACTATTATCAATGTTCTGTATTTGTTGTTGAATATAGATAATGATTTCGCTATCATCTATGTTTTGTATTTGTTGTTGAATATAGGTTTTGATTTCGCTATCATCTATGTTTTCTATCTGTTGTTTAATATTTCTTAGTTCTTTTTTAACTCACTGTTAAGTTAGTTTCCAGAGCATTTAATTCCTGTTGAAACGTATCTTCATTTCCATCTGGAATTTTATCTATTAATTGTTGAATGTATAATTTTTGTTTTGCAATCTTATCCTCTAATTTAGATATTAATGAAATTAAATTTTGTAACTCAGTTTCATTCGTAACGTTGACCAATTCCTTTTGAATAAAACTTATTAAACCTTTCACCTCTTGTTGTAGTTTAGTTCATTAACAAAATTTTCATTATTTAGTTGACGTTTGAAGAATCTTTTCACATTACTTATTTTATCTTCTAAATGGTTTTTATTTACTTCAATTGAATTTATTTGATCCTGTAAATATTAGGTTACGTTTTTTAGTTTCTAAAGATAAAGAACCTAATCCAAACTTGTTCGCCATTTTTATTGAGTTAAATTTATTACAATTTCTTCGAATTGTTTTCCTAAACTCACCTGATATAAAACCCAAAGTGAAAGCTGATCACAAAACTTTTGTCCCGGTAATTGAATTTGAAATGTTGAACATTTGATTGGTTTATTACTCAATTGCATTATCTCTTCAGTGGGTTCTAATCCATAAGAATCGAAGAAATATAAGTCATTTGAAGAGTCTTTGTACAAAGCAGAATGATGAACCCCTTTTTGATCGGAAGTATGTATATTTGTTATAGCGTAAAATTTACCTTTCTTATATTTCATCTCTCATACAATAATAAAACGGTGATATATTTAACTCATTCGCCCATCTCATAAGTTGAAAGTTTGTGGTTGTATCGTTTCCATATTTATCGAGAAAGATATTCATTTTTAAAAGTCGGTTTTTTGAGGAGTATGCGGTAAGTATTGTTGAAAACCCAATTGATGAAATATATACGTAGTTTGTGTTTGAAAAAAATTGTATTACATTCTGATAAAACACATTCAATAATATTTTGAACATAAATTTGCATTTAAATTTAAAAAATTTAAATTTAAGAAAGCGTAAATGCTTGTCTACATCTAAATTTCTTAATCTTCTATCAAATTCTTCATCATCATCTTTGTTTTCATTTTTTCTAAAAGTCTGTTTTTTGAAGTTCATTTTGATAAAACCTTCCTATGATTTGTTCTTTGTCTTGATCGATTAATTCATATGTTGGAGGTGATGTGGTGTTTACTTTATCTCCCTTCTAGAAGTTTCTAGACTAAAAATAACACTATTTAAAAAACCGGATGTTAAGCGAAACAAGGATGTTCTTTTATATAAGGGTATTTTTAATATGCTTTTTTTTTTATGGAATGTAGGAAATTGATTGAAGGTGTTTTTTGGTGTAGGAAATGTAAGGGTGTTTAGGTCTTTTTTTTTAGTGTAAGAATTTATGAAATGTAGGGTATTTTTTAGTGTAAGAATTTATGAAATGTAGGATGTTTTGCTGTAAGAATTTATGAAATGTAGGGAGTTAAGGTCTTTTTGGGAGCTTATATATTAATCGCATTTTCCCCATGAAATGAAATGGAATGGGGAATTCCCATGCGACCAATATATAAGCTCATACACTACTATCTCTATATGGTGGAGTTTTAAAATTTTCTTCGTATACTATACCATCTAATATTCTAATATTTCTCCACCGGCTTTCTTGAATATCGACCGATGTTAAAACACAAACCATTTCTAAACCTGATTTTACTCCCAGTTTCCCTTTTTCCTTCTTTATTCGTGAAAGTGATATTATCTTTAGCTGGTATTGGTTGGAAGAACATGTTTTTGGGA